TGTTACATGCATGGTTACCAGAAATAATTGTTAGGTGGTGGTGGATGTACTGTAGTACATTGTTGGGCAAGGATGTGTACTGTATATTGTTGTGGCAAGGATGTACTGTAGTACACTGTTGTGGCAGGGATGTACTGTAGCACATTGTTGTGGCAGGGATGTACTGTAGTACACTTGTTGGGCAGGATGTACTGTAGTACATTGTTGTGTGCAGGATGTACTGTAGTACATTGTTGTGGCAAGGATGTGCTGTAGTACATTGTTGTGCAAGGATGTACTGTAGTACATTGTTGTGGCAAGGATGTACTGTAGTACACTGTTGGGCAGGGATGTACTGTAGTACATTATGTGACAAGGATGTACTGTAGTACACTGTTGTAAGGATGTACTGTAGCACATTGTTGTGGCAAGGATGTCTGTAGTACATTGTTGTGGCAAGGATGTACTGTAGTACATTGTTAGGCAAGGATGTACTGTAGTACAATGTTGTGGCAAGGATGTACTGTAGTACATTGTTGTGGCAGGGATGTACTGTAGTACATTGTTGTGGAAGGATGTACTGTAGTACACTGTTGTAGCAGGGTGTACTGTAGTACAATGTTGTGGTAAGGATGTACTTAGTACACACTGTTAGGTAGGGTGTGTTTGTAGTACACTGTTGTGAAGGATGTACTGTAGTACACTGTTAGCAAGGATGTACTGTAGTACACTTGTTGTGGCAGGATGTACTGTAGTACATTGTTGTGGCAGGGATGTACTGTAGTACACTGTTGCAAGGATGTACTGTAGTACATTGTTGTGGCAAGGATGTGTACTGTAGTACATTGTTGTGGGCAGGATGTACTGTAGTACACTGTTGTGGCAAGATGTACTTGTAGTACACTGTTGTGGCAGGGATGTACTGTAGTACATTGTTGGGCAAGGATGTACTGTAGTACATTGTTGGGCAAGGATGTACTGTAGCACATTGTTGGGCAAGGATGTACTGTAGTACATTGTTGTGGCAAGGATGTACTGTAGTACATTGTTGTGGGCAAGGATGTACTGTAGTACACTGTTGTGGCAAGGATACTGTAGTACACTGTTAGCAGGTTTGTAGTGCCATTGTTGTGGGGGATGTACTGTAGCACACTGTTGGCAAGGATGTACTGTAGTACATTGTTGTGGCAGGGATGTACTGTAGTACATTGTTGGGCAAGGATGTACTGTAGTACATTGTTGTGGGAAGGATGTACTGTAGTACAATGTTGTGGCAAGGATGTACTGTAGTACACTGTTGTGGTGATGTACTGTAGTACATTGTTGTGTAAGGATGTACTGTAGTACACTGTTGTGGCGGGTGTACTGTAGTACAATGTTGTGGCAAGGATGTACTGTAGTACACTGTTGGGCAGGGGTGTACTGTAGTACACTGTTGTGGCAAGGGATGTACTGTAGTACACTGTTGTAGGTAGGATGTACTGTAGTACATTGTTGTGGCAAGGATGTACTGTAAGTATTGTTAGGCAAGGATGTACTGTAGTACATTGTTGGCAAGGATGTACTGTAGTACATTGTTGTGGCAAGGATGTACTGTAGTACATTGTTGTGGCAAGGATGTACTGTAGTACATGTTGGGCAAGGATGTACTGTAGCAATTGTTGTAAGGATGTACTGGTACAATGCTGGCAGGGATGTACTGTAGTACACTGTTGTGGCAGGGATGTACTGTAGTACATTGTTGTGGCAAGGATGTACTGTAGCATGTACCTTTGGCAGGGGTGTACTGTAGTACAATGTTGTGGCAGGGAAGGAATGTTTAAGGTAATAATACTTGTACTTTAAGTTGACTCAGAGACAAGTTTTTTTTTTTAACGGTGATTAGCCCACCCAAGCAACGGTTATGACCCACATCAGGCCTGGGGGAGAAAATATAATATTATTATACATATACATATTATTATTATTATTATTATTATTATATATATATATATAATATAAACATATAATAATATATATTAATATACATAATAATAATATATAATATATAATAATAATATTAATTATAATAATATTAAAAAACATTAATAATAAAATATAAACAATATAATAATAATAGTACATAATAATAACAATACTATTAAAATAATATTAATACTATTACTATTTATAATATTAATGATAATATTAATAATAATAATAATACAGATAAATACACACACAACAATACACAACAATACATATAACAATATAAACCAATAATATTATACATACATAATACACATATTATATACATATATATTATATTATTATTATTATTATTAATATTATTATATTAATAAAATAATAATAGTAATATTATTATATAATAATAATAATGTTTTTTTATTAATAAAAATTAATAAAATAATTGTTTTAATGAAAAATATAAATAAAATTAGAATAATAATAACAATAATTACCATAAATAGATACAGAAACGAAATAATAAATAAATCAAGATTGAGAAGAGATATACTGTACATTATGTACAGTATGTTGTGTTGTCAAAGTAAGAGAAACAAATGTTACCCTGCAAATGTGTGAAAATATGGCAGAAAGTCAGATCAGCAACCTCACTTGTATGTGTGTGGGTAACATTTAAATACGACTAAAATACTGATATTTTTTAGACCAAGTTTTATTTAATGAGTCTGCTTTTTCTACCTGGCGTGAACCAATAAGAGGGCAAGAGCAATGGAGACGCCAGATCTGTTATCTAGTATTGGTCTATAATAGTAAGGTTGATATAATTACATTCAATATTACTTAATATTTTATATGACTAAACACTAATATTTTTTCTTTAATTCTTCTTGAAAAAAACACTTTACATTCTATTCTGGAAAATATTTTTGCAGGCATCAATATGTTCAAATCTGCAAATGTATCGAAGAATGACAAAAGATGAACGAGGAAATTGAATCATATCATCATATCATCATTGCCTTTGAGCGGCTATGACAATCGTGAATCAATTTCTGGAATAAGATTAAAATCGTCATGCGTTTGTTGAGATAATCTATCAAATCTGAATAATATTAGTTGAATTGGCACAATTTGCTCCGGCATATTGAACTAATTTATTATAAATGAATCAACTGATTTTGCATCGTTTATTGCCAACTCATGTATTTCCAAGGTATTGATAATAGAAAGCTGAAATTTCTATGCCGAGGTGCGGGTGGCAAGGTGTTGCTCGTCGTACTATCTCCTGCCCCCCACCCCCCAACCAAGCATGCAAAGTCGGGTAACTCTGCTGTTCTCAATATAATCAGAAGTACAAGTCCTACCGAACCAAACACCTACACACGTTGTCTCTGAGTTCTGACGGTATAGAAGACCCGATACTTTAATATTATCTTCCTTTACAACTTTTTATTATCATTACTAACTAGAAATCTGTGATTTGAGTATTGTTTACATCCTCCCTGAGCTGCTTACTGTTAAGTTATGTTACAGAACTGTCTTTATCACTACACCTGAGCCTCGTCTGTGTCCCTACCACCTGTCATGTGAGATGTGGTTGACTAGCACATTCCTGTGTTGTTTTAAAGAACTTCCACAACATCCTGAGTTTGAGATCACAAGCCCTTGTTGTCTTAGAGTACTCCAAGCTCCTTGTGTTGTCTTAGAGCACTTCCAAGCTCCTTGTTGTCTTAGAGTACTTCCAGAGCCTGTGTTGTCTTCAGAGAGTACTCCACAAGCTCCTTGTTGTCTTAGAGTACTTCCACGAGCCCCTGTGTTGTCTTAGAGTACTTCCACAAGCTCCTTTGTTGTCTTAGAGTACTTCCACGAGCTCCTGCGTTGTCTTAGAGTACTCCACAAGCTCCTTGTTGTCTTAGAGTGCTTCTCCACAACCTCCTGAGTTGTCTTGGAGTACTTCCACAACCACCTTGTTGTCTTAGAGTACTGCCACAGGTGCCGCTTGTGTTGTCCAAGAGTACTTCCACAACTCCCTGTGTTGTCCAAGAGTACTTCCACAACCTCCTGTGTTGTCCAAGAGTCCTTCCACAACCTCCTGTGTTGGCCAAGAGTACTTCTACACCTCTTGCGTTATCCAAGAATATTCTCACGTCACCAGAGACGCAACACTTTTATACTCACTATCTCCAAACCACTGCATGTTTCCCCTGCCACCACACACATGTAATAAGCTGAGAGGAGGAGGTAGTGTAAATATATACTAAATCAGAGTCGTCAAGAAAATATATACAGCAAAGAATGTCTATCGTCTCTGCGACTACTCCCGTAAGAAAAAATATCTGTCTGTCTGTCTGTCTGTCTGTCTGAATGTTTGTTTGTCTGTCTGTCTGTTTGTCTGTCGAATGTTTCTGTCTGTCTGTTGGTCTGTCTGTCTGTCTGTCTGTCTGTCTGTTCTAGCCATAGCTCCAAAACAGTAGTAGTTAGAGACCTGTAAATTTATTATATTGACATGGGTCCTTGGTATTACTATTGACCACGGACCCCCAGGTGGTCCGGGCAAGACCTATAATCTTCCCCACCGAGATATACCACGGCATTGTGGAGGTGGTTACACGTGTCAGGAGGACAATAGTCACATTCACGGTTGTACTGTATATACCTAACCCAACAGAAACGGGTAATTCTGCGAGTAATAAATAAACACGTTATGGTGACTGTCAGGCCATCAGGCTGGTTCCGGAAACATTACATGTCCTCCTGACACAACCTAAGCCAGTTCAGTGGAGTTACCACATCCACTGCCAACCTCACCTGAAGTTACTTCCATACAGTCACCACTTCACCTGAAGTACTTCATACAGTCACCAACCTCACCTGAAGTTACTCATACAGTCACCAACCTTACCTAGTTACTCATACAGTCACCAACCTCACCTGAAGTTACTCATACAGTCACCAACCTCACCTGAAGTTACTCATACAGTCAACCAACTTCACTGAAGTTACTCATACAGTCACCAAACTCACTCTAGTTACTCATACAGTCACCAACCTACCTTCCTGAAGTTACTCATACAGTCACCAACCTCACCTGAAGTTACTCATGCAGTCACCAACCAGTTCAGTGAAGTTACTCATAGTCACCAACTCACCTGAAGTTACTTATACAGTCACCAACCTTACCTGAAGTTACTCATACAGTCACCAACCCATCCTGAAGTTACTCATACAGTCACCAACCTTACCTGAAGTTGCTCATATAGTCACCAACCTTACCTGAAGTTACTCATACAGTCACCACCTTCCTGAAGTCACCTAGTCACCAACCTTACCTGAAGTTACTCATACAGTCACCAACCTCACCTGAAGTTACTCATACAGTCACCACCTTACCTGAAGTTACTCATACAGTCACCAACCTTCCTGAAGTTACTCTATAGTCACCAACCTTACCTGAAGTTATTATACAGTCACCAACCTACCTGAAGTTACTATAGTCACCAACTTACCTGAAGTTACTCATACAGTCACCAACCTTCATTTAAGTTACTCATATACAGTCACCAACCTACCTAGGTCACTCATACAGTCACCAACCTTACCTGAAGTTACTCATACAGTCACCAACTTACCTGAAGTTACTCATACAGTCACCAACCTACCTGAAGTTACTCATACAGTCACCAACCTACCTGAAGCTCATAGTCACCAACCTCACCTGAAGACAGTCACCAACCTCACCTGAAGTTACTCATACAGTCACCAACCAGTTCAGTGAAGTTACCATACAGTCACCAACCTACCAGTTACTCATACAGTCACCAACCTTACCTGAAGTTACTCATACAGTCACCAACCTCAAGTTGAGTATCATACAGTCACCAACCTCACCTGAAGTTACTCATACAGTCACCAACCTTACCTAGTTACTCATAGTCACTCAACCTCACCTGAAGTTACTCATACAGTCACCAACCTACCTGAAGTTACTCATACAGTCACCAACCTTACCTGATACTATACAGTCACCAACCCACCTGAAGTTACTCATACAGTCACCAACCGTTCACAGGTTACTCATAGCAGTTACACTAACCCACCTGAAGTTACTCATACAGTCACCAACCTCACCTGAAGTTACTCATACAGTCACCAACCTACCTGAAGTTACTCATACAGTCACCAACCTACCTGAAGTTACTCATACAGTCACCACCTTACCTGAAGTTACTCATACAGTCACCAACCTCACCTGAAGTTACTCATACAGTCACCACCTTACCTGAAGTTACTCATACAGTCACCAACCTTACCTGAAGTTACTCATAGTCACCAACCTTGCCTAGCATACAGTCACCAACCTTACCTGAAGTTACTCATACAGTCACCACCTACCTGAAGTTACTCATACAGTCACCAACCTCACCTGAAGTTACTCATACAGTCACCAACCTTCCTGAAGTTACTCATAGTCTACCTGAAGTTACTCTACAGTCACCAACCTTACCTGAAGTTACTCATACAGTCACCAACCTTACCTGAAGTTACTCATACAGTCACCAACCTCACCTGAAGTTACTCATACAGTCACCAACCTTACCTAGGTTACTCATACAGTCACCAACCTACTTGAAGTTACTCATACAGTCACTAACCTCACCTGAAGTTACTCATACAGTCACCACCTTACCTGAAGTTACTCATACAGTCACCAACCTACCTGAAGTTACCTACAGTCACCAACCTCACCTAGTTACTCATACAGTCACCAACCTTACCTGAAGTTACTCATACAGTCACCAACCTTACCTGAAGTCACTCATACAGTCACCAACCTTAGCTGAAGTTACTCATACAGTCACCAACCTTACCTGAAGTTACTCATAGTCACCAACCTCACCTGAAGTTACTCATACAGTCACCAACCTACCTGAAGTCACTCATACACTCACCACCTTACCTGGTTACTATACACTCACCACCTACCTGAAGTTACTCATACAGTCACCAACTCACTGAAGTTACTCACAGTCACCACCTTACCTAGTTACTCATACAGTCACCAACTCACCTGAAGTTACTCATACAGTCACCAACCTTCCCTAGTTACTCATACAGTCACCAACCTTACCTGAAGTTACCATACAGTCACCAACCTACCTGAAGTTACTCATACAGTCACCAACCTTACCTAGTTACTATACAGTCAACTAACTGTACAAGTTACTCTATACAGTCACCAACCTTACCTGAAGTCACTATACACCACCATTCCTAGTTATCATACAGTCACCAACCTCACCTGAAGTTACTCTATACAGTCACCAACCTTACCTGAAGTCACTATACACTCACCACCTTACCTGAAGTTACTCATACCTGTGCCCGTTCCTCACCATCTGTGTCTACTGTGCTGGAAGGCTTCTCGTGGCCTCATCAAGATAAATATGAGGAACTTGATCTGACGAAAGTTTATGTCACACTATCTTCTTCACCTGAGGAATATAAAAGTATCGTACACTCATTGACTGCTTGTGGATTTACCTTATATGTATTTATCAATTTACATATATATTATAATATCTCTGTCTGTCTGTCTGTCTGTCTGTCTGCCTGTTCTCTCATTTCTTTACTCTCTCTCTCTCTCTCTCTCTCTCTAACCATCCGTTAATTATTTTCCTTTCTCTCGTTTCCTTCTTTTTCGGTCTCTGTCTGTATGTCTCTCTCCTTTCTTTCTTTCTCTCTCTTTCTTTCATTCTCTTTCTTTCTCTTTTTCTTTTCTTTCTATCTCTTTCTTCGTCTCCTTTCTTCTTTCTGTTTGTCTGTCTGTTTTTGTTTGTCTTTCAGTCTGTCCCTAACTATCTGCCTTTGTCCTTTCTGTCTGTCTGTCTGTCTTTCTCTCAATAAAGGGACCAACAGACCCCCGCCGGCCAACTTCACCAGAATCCGTATAACAGCTTGGGTTACTCTCTCGACTTGGCTTTAGTTGTGCTCACTCACACCTCAGTCCTGCCACGCCACTCCTTAATCGTGCCACGCCACCCTCAGTCCTACCACGCCACCCCAATCTTGCCACACCACCCTCAGTCCTACCACGCCACCTCCTCAGTCGTGCTACGCCACCCCTCAGTCCTGCCACGCCACCCTCAGTCCTGCCACGCCACCCCAGTCCTGCCACGCCCCCTCAGTAAACCACGCCACCCTCAGCCCTGCCACGCCACCCCCAGTCCTGCCACGCCACGCTCAGTGCTACCTCACAGACAGTTGCACCACCAGCTGCCACACAACAGCTGCACCACCATGGCTTCACACAGCAGCAGGACTACCAGCTGCTTCACACAACAGCTTCACTACCTGCTGCATTACAAAACAGCAGAACTACCAGCTGCCTCACACACAACAGCAACACCACAAATTTTCACAAAACAGCTGCACCACCAGCTGGTTCACACAACAACTGCACAACCAGTTGCCTAAAACTACAGCTGCACCATTCCAGCTGCCTAACACAAGAGCTGCTTACCAGTTTCGATTCAGTACTACCACCAGCCTCACACAACAGCTGCACCACCACCTGCCTCACACAACAGCTGCACCACCAGCTGGCTCACACAACAACTGCACCACCAGCTACCTCACACTACAGCTGCACAACCAGTTGTCTCACACACATGCTGCACCACCAGCTGCCTCACACTACAGCTGCACCACAAGCTGCTTCACACAACAGCAGCACCACCAGCTGCCTTACACAACAGCTGCGCCATAAACTGCCTCACACAACAGCAGGATTACCAGCTGCCTGCCACAACAGCTGCACCACCAGCTGCCTCACAAGCAGCAACGCCAGCTGCCTCACACAAAAGCAGCACTACCAATTGCCTCACACAGCAGCAGGACCATCAGCTGCCTCACACAACAGCTGCACCACCAACTTTCTCAACACAACAGCGGCACCACCAGCTACTCCCACACAACAGCAGGACCACCAGCTGTTTCACTCAACAGCGTGCCACCAGCTACCTCACACAGTAGCTACACCACCAGCTCCCTCATTCAACAACCTGCACCACCAGCTGCCTCAGACACCAACTCCACCACCAGCTGCCTCACACTTACAGCTGCCCCATAACCATTAACTGCCTCACACAGCAGCACCACCAGCTGCCCACAGCACCAACAGCTGCCTGCACAACAGCTGCGCAACCAGCTGACTCACACAACAGCTGCACCACCAATTGCCCACAGCAACACCAGCTGCCTCACACAACTTGCTGCCTGCACAAAAGTTGCACCACAAGCTGACCCACACAACAGCTTCACCACCAGCGGCCCCATAGAACAGTTGCACAACCAGCTGCCTCACACAAAAGAGAGCACCATCAGCATCCTCACAGCACCTCCAGCTGCCTCACGCAACAGCTGCGCCACCAGTTGCTCTCACACAAGAGCAGCACCACCAGCAACTGTCTCTCACACAAAGCTGCACCATCAGCTACCTCACACAACAGCTGCACCACCAACTGCATCACGGAACAGCAGCACCACCAGCTGTTTTTACACAAGCAGCACCACCAGTTGTCTCACACAACAGCTGCAACATCAACTGCCTTATACAACAGGTGCACCACCAGCCTAACGCACCAGCAGCACAAACTAGCTGCTCTCACACAAGAGCAGCAACACCAGCTACCTCACATAACAGCTGCACCATACAAGAGTAGCACCTCCAGCTGCCTTCACACAACAGGCCACACCCAGCTGCCTCCACACAACAGATGCTGCACAACCTGTTGCTCTTGCACAACAGCAGCACCACCAGCTGCCTCAGACAATATTTGCACCACCAGTGTCTCACACAACAGCTGCACCCCAGCTGCCTCACACACAGCCACTACCGTTGCCCACACAACAGCTGCACCACCAGCTGCCTCATAGAACAGTTGCAATTTCACACATTAGCTGCTCCTCACATTCAACAGCTGCACCGCAAGCTGCCTCACACATGCTGCACACCAGCTGCCTTAAAATGTTACACCACCAGCTGCTTCACCGAACAGTTGAACCACCAGCTTCCTCAGAAACAGTCACCACTGGCTATACAAGGACCACCAGCCTCACACAACAGCAGCACCACCAGCTGCCTTATACAACTGCAGCACCACCAGCTTCCTCACACAACAGCACTCCAGCTGCCTCATACAACTGCTGCACCACCATCTACCTCACAGAACAGCTGCCTTATGCAACAGCTGCACCACCAGCTGCCTCACACAACATCAGCACCACCAGCTACCTCGCACAACAGCAGCACTACTAGCTGTCTCAAACAACAACTGGACCACCAGTTGCCTCACACAACAGCTTCACCACCAGCTGCCTCATAAAACAGTTGCACCACCAGCTGCCTCATACAACAGGAGCACCACCAGCTTCCGCACATAAAAACTGCACCACCAGCTGCCTCACACATGCACTACCAGTTGCCTCACACAATAGCTGCACCACTAGCTGCCTTATAGAACAGCTGCTCCACCAATTACCTGACACAACAGCTGCACCACTATTGCCTCACACAACAGCTTCATCACCAGCTGCCCACACAACAGCAGCACCACCTACACACAACGGCAGCACAACCAGCTGCCTAACACAACAGCTGCACCTTCTGCTGCCTCCTACAACAGCAGCACCACCAGCTGCCTCACACAACAGCTGCACCACACGCTGCCACACACAACAGCTGCAATACAACATAATTTATACGTCGAGAAAGCAACTTTTTTGTACATTCACGCCAAACCTTCGTTTATATGCGCAAAAACAACATCTCTTCGTCCAGGGTTCCTTTCCAGTAGAGGCCAATAGTGTTGTTTTTGTGTTTCACTACCGTCATTGTGTCTTTCTTCACTACATTGTTTTTTGCTGATTCTCACGACACCATGAAAAGTGTTCCAGAGTTTTGCGTTTCTCAATAAGGTCTCGATTTTAACAGGACCGATATAATACTTCACTAATTGTTGTATCTCTCAATATACATTTGATGATGACAACTATATTTATTAACTTAAAACTTACGCTTAAAGGCTCGTGTTGTTAAGGTGCTGCAGTATATTATAGCATAATCATCGTTGCACCCACCTAGTCAAAGCCATTTTTCAACAAGCAAATGTAAACAGCTCTAAACCGTAATAAATACGAGTTTTTCAAAGCTGTGATGTAATATCGTGCTGCCGGGTCCTCGCAGAAGAGGGACTCACCACAGGTTATTTACATGATATCGTGCAGGCTGGAGTGACTGTGCTGGCCTCTGTGTTCCTCCCTGTCACTACAGTAGAAATACAGATGATCGTGGGCACTTCGTGCCCGGTGGCGAGTCCGGTGGTGCAGTTTACCGAGGTTGTTATAATGATGGTCGTGGTTGTTATAATGATGGTCGTGGTTGTTATAATCATGGTCGGTTGTTATAATTCTGGTCGTGGTTGTTATAATCATGGTCGAGGTTGTTATGATCATAGTCGTGGTTGTTATAATCATGGTCCTGGTTGTTATAATCATGGTCCTGGTTGTTATAATCATGGTCCTGGTTGTTATAATCATGGTCTGTTATAATCATGGTCGTGGTCGTACTTACAGTATCTAATATACTATAAGAAGGAATAGAATAAAGGTTAGAATAATTAGTTAAAGAAATATTCGCCATAAGGAGAGGTTAAAAAAAGTTATTATGAATCACCAATGATCATTCCGAGATGAATATATTATGAAGAGAAGCACTTGATTCTGGTTAGATTAGTCACCATCTGCTTAAGTCATCACCTGTGTTAAGTCATCATAGTCATTATGTGAACCAGTCAGTCAGCTGTCTGTCTGTCATGTTAGTTGCCATATTGTCTATTTGTATGTATGAATCTGTCTATATTTGTCAACCTCCTGTCTGTTTCACTGTCTATATTCACCCTGTGTCTATTGTAGTCATCTTCTCCATGCATTCCTGTTATTATCTTTTATCTCTTCTCCTTTTCCACCCACAGGAATAAGTATACACTGTAGCTGTAAGTCTTCTGGTAACGTTGAAATCGCGCATCCAGACGCATGATGAAACTCAGCTCTTTTCACCTGTTATCTCTAACTATTTTTCTTTATTTTTTCATTTCTCATCTTCCTTCCTTTTACCAATCCAAACAACATTAAAAAAAGTAGGCTAAGAAAAAAGTGAGGGGGAGGAGGAGGAGCCTTATGATAACTACAATCGTGGGCTGACAGCATCCAGTGAATGAGGGTGCGCAAGTCCGTGAGACTGGCATTGTTTGCAAATGGTTATGTGTAATGGCTTCCTAAAGAAACCATCGATGTTGGACCAGGTTTGTTCCACTGTACGAATTTTTTGCGATTTTTCCACCAAGTTTGATGAAAAACGATTGTACCATTTCGGCTGCCCAGAACAGACACACACACACACACGCACACGCCTAGTCCTATAGTATATTAGATTCAGGGCAAACACGACACACGGCGGCATTTGATTCTTGTCTTTGTCTTAAGTATTATCAACTGTTTTGCTTCTGACAATGAAATCTTATACATTACATTACTTCATTATGGATATTCTTTATCTTCAACCAAAAACATTATGAATTTTTCAGTTGATTTTATAGTCCGGTAGTTTGCACTCTGCCCATGTGGGCAGAACTTGATAATGTAGTAGAGCCGATAATGGAAAAATCGTGCAATTGGTGATACAAGCCTGAAATATGGCATGATCATACCCTAGGGGCTACTGGTCAAATCTGCCTGTTTGGCCATTTGGAAATCCAAGATGGCGGCCATTTTTCAAGATGGCTGCCAAATTGACCTTAGATAGATGATTTTTTTTTAGAAATTTATGTAGTTGGGCAATCTAAATTATCTTAGTGTCGATATGTATGTTTTCAAACATGCTCAGATGTAAAGGCCTGGGATTTTGAGATAGAAATCCCTTACCAGACCAATCAGGTTCTTAATAAAGGAAAGTCAAGGACCATGGTTTTCTGAGGAATAGCAAACAACCGTTTGAGATTGACATCTCTTTACTATAAAAAAATATAAGACAAAACTCTGACACCACTCAACAAACAACAAATAATAATTACGGGAGTCAAGCAATTAAGGCAGTCAACAGTTAATGGAGTCAAACAATTAATGGAAGCAAAGCCAATGACACTGACGTGGTCGTCATAGCAGTATCTGTACTGCCATCACTACAGGAGCTTGGTCTTGATAACATGTGGATTGCCTTTTGCCAAGGAGCCAGTCATCGATGGATTCCAGTTCATGATGTAGTTTCTGCGATAGGGCCTAAGAAAGCTAGTGGGATCCTATACTTTCATGCTTTTACTGGCTGTGACGTTGTGTCTGGCTTCCGTGGGAAAGGAAAGAAATCTGCATGGCAGACATGGAATGTCTGTGATGAAGTTTCAGAAACATTCACCAAATTCAGCCAATGTCCAACAACAGTTGCTGATGTTGACCTGCAGAAGCTGGAAAGATTTGTTGTCCTCATGTACGACAGATCTAGTGCAGCCACTGGTGTAGATGAGGCAAGACTAAATCTCTTTTCCCGCAAGCAGAGACCATATGACTCCATTCCACCAACCCAGGCAGCCCTCAAGGAACATGCAAAGCGGGCTGCCTACCAGGCTGGTATCATCTGGGGCCAGGCAACAATCTCTAATCCAGAAACCAGCAGTCCTGTCATCTGGGGATGGACGCAGAAGGGAGAGGCATGGCAGATACGTTGGACGACTCTTCCCCCGATTGCGACATGCTGTCAGGAGCTGACCAAATGTTCCTGTAAGAAAGACTGCAACTAGAGATGCAAATGCTTTGGCTCTGGACTTTCCTGCACAGCACTTTGCAGCTGCATATGTGAACAGCAGTAAATGCACAAAGACGTACTGTCAGGAGAAGTCACAGGAACCAGTGCTAATAGTGAGTACTTTTTTTTTAGTAAGTTCTTTTTTGTTATATTTTTTTTGCTAAAAGTGTTATTTTATGTGGATAAAAATGTTACAATGGACTTAAAACTATAAAAAATCATCTGAACATGCTTGAAAACATACATATCGACACCAAGATCACCCAGATTGACCAACTACATCAATTTCTATAAAAAAAATCAACTTTATGAAGGTCAATATGGCGGCCATCTTGAAAAATGGCCGCCATCTTAGATTTTCAAATGGCCAATCAGGCAGACTTGACTAGTAACCATTAGAGAATTACCATGCCAAATTTGGTGCTTGTACCACCATTTTCATGATTCTCTTGAAAAATTGCATTTAGCTGCCCCACTAATGTCACCACTCCCATCTCAACATGACACTCGTATGCTGAAATATTGTCTTTCATACTACATATGACTTTACAAAAAGAAATATCTACATCTGGTCAAATAACTCTTGTTAAAGGCATTTTGTTTTCTTTATAAACACTTTATTATACAGTACAGCGAAATAATATGCATGTGGATATAATACCAGTTGAATAAACGAAACTAAAAAACTGGAGATTGTAATTACAGTGAAGCCTTGACAACTCCATTATGAAGTTAGGGATTAGATGACGCCAAATTCAATCACCTTAATGCACTTTAAGAGAGAGGAGTCACCGTGCCAGGGCTTAATATTATCCTGGACCCTTGAGGTTGATGACGTATTCAGTGTCAGGGGCAGAAATACATCGATGTGCACAGCACCTGATCCCAATCAACTCCAGTATAGGTGTTAATAATGTAGAGGTGACCAGGTGTGTTGCACGTTGGTAGTGTTGGATGGTGATGCAGGAAAGAGGTAGTGTGTTGAGGGTGGTGTGTGGTTATGACTCACTCCCACAACCTTCCACACCACTCACACTCCTCACAACACTACCACAACCCCCCACACCACTCACACATCCTCACAACACTACCACAACCCCCCCACACCACTCACACATCCTCACAACACTACCACAACCCCCCCACACCACTTACAATACATATTACAATACCCACACGTGACACAAGCCATTCACCATCACCATCTGAAGCTGGTAAACTAGGACTAGGACCAGCGACCAATAGGCCGTGAAGTAAGCTTCGTATAAACTCGGCCACCGCCATACTACACATTAATAACACCTCAATATTCTCCAACTTAATATTTGAAGACGTCAAGACTATTGTTACTTGTACGTAAATTTTCACCGAGGCCCGGGAGATTAGACTTAATGTGACCACTGTAATGTGACCACTTTGATGTGACCATTGTAATGTGACCACTGTGATGTGACCACTGTAAT